GCCGGGCGGGCGGGCGCGGTGGGTGGGGCGGCGGCCGGCGCCGGGGAAACTTGTGTCCAGTGCGGGGGTTGGGCTGGCGCGTGCTGAACCTAGATTTCTAGCTCGCCTGCTTCCAGCCCGGACGCGGTCAAAGAGGCGAGAGCCAGAGTTCCAGAAAAAATTTTAAAAGCCACCATCAACAACCGGGAGAGATCAGGACCAAACTTTGTTCAGGGGTGGGGAGTGAACGGGGCCCATCATGGGGACAAGCCAAGGCCGGCGACCCTGTCGTAGCTCGAGGCCCTGCGTCCCCACTGGCCTCGCCCCTGGGATTAAAGTCCGACCGGATTTCTGTGTGGGCGTTTTAAAGTTCTTGGTGATTCATTCATCACTACTTATTTAACCTTCACTGACTACTATGATCTAGTACTAGCTGAGAAGTATCAAGACAGATGCTCTTTTTATGGTATAGATACGAACCTGGCTGGACAGAGAGGTCCAGGGATGGCTTCCAAAACTACATCGGGAGTTGGGGCTGGTCCAGAAGGGACAGCCTTTCAGCCACAGGGAAACCAGCATCAGCCAAGATCTGGAAGTGGGAGAGAGGCTGGTGTAACTACTCTGAATCTATTTAGTGCCCAGGGAAGAGGAGAGGGTTGGCCAGTGCTCGTCTAGATCAGTGGAGGCAGACGAGAGGAATTCAAAGCGCTGCGTTTAGTCAGCAGAATCCACAGGACTGGAAGAGATGGGACGTGGGAGAAAAGTGCACGGGGGTGGGGGGGAGGGCTTGGGTGCCAAGGTGAGATTCGTCAGAGGAGAAGCATCCCAGGGAGCAGCCAAATGCTCTGTTTGAAAATCAAGGAAGTACTTACGGTGAAAATACAAAAACACAAAGTGTCATCAGGCAAACAAGTCACAGAAGGGTTAAATCTCTAGAAAGAAAAACAAGAGACCCAGTTAGCAGTTTTCTAGTTGTTGTTACTATTGTAGTGTTTGTGTGCATGTGTATGCATGGATGCCCAAAGTCAACACTTTGTTTTCCCTCAGTTGTGTGTGTGTGTGTGTGTGTGTGTGTGTGTGTGTGTACAGATGTGTGTCTCAGTGTTTGCATGTGAGGGTGCATTTGTATGTGCACATACATACATGTGGGACCCGAACATCATATGTCTGCCTGGATCACTCTCCACTTTATCTCTGTCTCTGCCCCTCAAATTCTGGGATTACAGGCCACCCCCACCTGCCCAGCATTTGTGTGGGTTCTGGGGATCTGAACTCCGGTCCTCATGCTTGCATGGAAAGCCTCTTTACCTGCTGAGTCACCTCCCCAGCCCTCTGCCGAACTTTCTAAAGACAGGGTCTTACTAAACCTGGAGTTCACTCACACTCACTGATGGCAACCTCCAGAGGTCCAGCTGTCACAACCTCCTTGGCAGTGGGATTTCAGAAGAGTACCACACTACTGTGGCCATCTTTTATGGGTGCTGGGGAGCAAGTCCTCTTGGGTGGCCAGCACTTTACCAACTGAGCCGTTGCTCAGCTCTGTTATTATTATTACTGACACAGGGTCTTGCTGTGTAGGCCAGGCTGGCCCCAAACTCATGGTCCTCCTGCCCCTACCTTCTGAGTGCTGGAATTACAGGCCTGTGCCACCATCCCATCCTAAGTAATTATTGTTAATGTCCCTAGCACCTAGCCAAGAGCCTCGCATTAGCATTGTTGTCAGATAAGCAAAGCCCAGCAACAGACAGCTTTGGAATTTCTCAGTGTGTAGAGACTCAAATGGAGGTCCAGTTGATGTAATGTTGGAGCCATGAGTTCCTATTCTGGCTCTGCCACTAGGTTTCTATATGACCTGTAACAAGTCTCCCACTGCTTATGAAGTGAACACAGCAAAGACATATTCCTGTGTATAGAACTCTGCTATGGGTTCATGTGTTGGGCTTGGTGCCCAGTGTGGTGACTTTGGGAGGTGGTGGGACCCTTAAGAGGTGAGACCAGGTGGTTTGTCCCTAGATCATTAGGGAGCTGCCCCTGTGAGGAGTGAGAGAAGAGTGAGTTGTAATGAGTGATCCTGAGTCACCCTGTTGGTTCCTTCCTGCTCATTTACGAACTATGGAAAGGCTGTCGGCCAGGGAGTCCTCACCAAAGCCAGCACCATGCCCTGCAGCATTCAAAACATAGAACTTATAGTCAGTGAACTCTTCAGCTGGGTGTGGTGGCTCATTCTTGTGATGCCATTGCTTGGGTGATCGAAGGATTGCTGAGTTGGAGGCCAGCCTGAATGACATAGCAAAATCCTGACCAGAAAAAAAAGTAATAAAACTTACTTGAAATATTTTTTAAGCCTGGCAGTGGTGGTCCACACCTTTAATCCCAGCACTCTGGAAGCAAAGGCAGGCAAATCTCTGTGTGTAAATAAATAAGTATTTTTTGAGACAGTACCTTGCTATATATCCCTGGCTGGCCTGGCACTCAGTATGTAGCTCAGGCTAGCTTTGAACTTTCAGAAATGCCCCTGCTTTCACAGGACCATAGACAATGTACCAGCATGCTCAAATAATAAGCCTCTTTATAAAGTTATCCAGATTCAGGTCTTTCCCTATACAAACAGAAGACTGGCTACTAAAAGCTGAACATGCTAAAACATCATTAATTTTTCTCATTTAGTCCACGGTGCCCTTATGTGGGAAGTCAGGTTATAGGCTTACACCCAAGTCTGTCGGACTCCAAGTCTTGTTCTTTACTCTGACAGCTGTCTCCAATTGTTTGGACCGTGTTGAGATCACATGATCATTCTGTCAAAGCATTGTGCTGAGGCTGGCCCACTTAGATGGATGTTCTATAACAAGGTCACCATGAGGAGAAGGAGACAGAGGCTGAAAATGATGGAAGTTATCTATCATTTTCTAATTCTCTTCCTGACAACCACTGAGTTGAGCAGCCATGTTTGTTTCTTAGAATTAAATGACAGCAGGGTAGAACAAAAATAGTGACCAGATGTTTCCAGATTTTTATCCAGATCCTCTGAACCCCAAAACCTGCTGCAAAATGAATGGGTAAGCTGGTATACTTCTGAGTACCTCTGGCAGCAAGGCAGAGAGAGTACTTCTCCTTCACTAGGCTGGGCAGCTGGGTTTCGGGTATTTCTACCCTGATAATGTGATTTCTTTCCCTTCCTCCCCCTCTCCCTCCTTCCCCCTCTCCCTCCCTCCCCCTTTCCCTCCCTTCCTTCCTTGTTTTGTTTTTGTTTTTCAAGACAGGGTTTCTCTGTGTAGCTCTTACCTGGAACTCACTCTGTAGAACAAGCTGGCCTTGGGCTCACAGAGACCTACCTGCCTCTGTCTCCCAAGTGCTGGGATTAACAATAATGTGATTTCTTAAAAATATTTTTTGTCCCTTTTAAACTATGGTGATAAATGTCTACAGAAAGATGTAATTGTTTTGTGCTAGTAAATTGGCTCCTGGCTTAAGGGCTGGAGAGATGGCTCAGAGGTTAAGAGCTCTTCCAGAGGTCCTGAGTTCAATTCCCAACAACCACATGGTGGCTCAAAACCATCTGTAATGAGATCTGGTGATGCTGGGGAAACCCACAGAAACAGCTGACCTGGGCAATTGGGAGCTCACAGACCCAGCTGTCACCGAACCAGGCCCTCTGAACATGGGTGTCAGTTGCGGGGCCTGGGCAGTCTATGGGGCCTCTGGCGGTGGAACCAGTATTTATCCCTAGTGCACGAATGGGCTTTGGGAGCCCATTCCCTGTGAAGGGATACTCTCTTTCCCTAGATACATGGGGGAGACAGACTTTGATTATTCCCCTTGGGAGACCTTACCCTCCCTGAGGAGTGGATGTGGGATGGGATGGGGGATTGGTGGGGAAGGAGAAGATGGGGGGATGGGATGGGAATTGATTAGTGGGGGGATGGGAGGACGAGAGGGAACTGGGATTGGTATGTAAAATAAGATTGTTTCTAATTTAAATAAAAATTAAAAGAAAAAAATGGCTCCTGGTTCGTATAAGGGAGAAACTGTACATTTATTTTTTGTGTGTGAAAATGTGGCCTTAGCTTAGGCTTGCCCCACTAGCTCTTATAACTTAAATTAACCCATATTTTAAAATCTACATTCTTTTACGTGTCTCAGTTACCTTTACTCTGTCCTGCCCATCCTGGTTCTTCCACAGCTGGCTGTCGACTCTGCCTTTCTTCTTCTCCAAGACCTCTCTGTCCCCAGAAGTCCCAGCTAGGCTAATTCCTGTCTGGCTATTGGTCATTCAGCTCTTTATTAAGCCAATCACAGTGATACTTCTTTGACTCCATTTCATGATACTCCACAGTTTCCTCCCTATCCACTATGTAGTTTGAGATCTACTGATGCAGGTTGTCAGAATAAGAAAGGAAATTAGCGCCAAGAGAGATGACTCATTAGGTAAAGGTGTTTGCCACCAAGGTTGATGACCTCAGTTTGATCCCAGAGACCCACATGATGGGAAGCAAGAACTGACTTGCAGATTGTTGTCTGACCTTTACCAAGTGTTCCATGGCAACATACACACACACACACACACTAATAAATAAATTAATAGAAAGATTTAAAGAAGGGAAATTAACGATTTGCCACAATGGTTTCTATCTAAGGAAAACATTTTAAAATGCAATTTCCACCCCTTCCTCTCACTGATCCCCTTCAATCATAATCTCTGGGGTGGGGCCCAGTAATAAGTATTTTTTTCCCACTCAACCCAGAATGTTAAGCCAGGTTTGGAAACCACTCATTTATCCCTTCCCACTTAGGGAATCTGTAGTTCTGGGAGGGGAAGTTACTTGTCACATACAGCGTTACCAGTCACATATGGCGTTAGCGCCTCTGTCTCCGTTGAGGAGTTTTGGTCAGGAAGTCCAGAGACCTGGACTTAAACACCAGCTAGACCTGCCATTGCCTAGAGCAAGTCATTTCTCTTCTCTGAACCTTTGCTTCCTCACTGTGAGAATAATGCCATTGTTACTGAGAATTCAAAGAGAGGATGAATAGCCATGGAAATACTGTGTCAACTTGTTTTGTGTACAGGGAGGAAGTGGAAGCAGTATGTTCCCTGCCACAATTGCCCCTCCACGGGAACCGGTCAAGTCTCACAGTATGGATGTAGCCACCTTTCAATGGCTGCTGAGCCCTAGGCCTTCTGTCACCAAGCCCTCTTGTCTTCACAGGTTGGGATGGCCACCAGCTGGGGGAGCATCTTGCAAGATGAGAAACAGCTTGAGGAGTTGGCACAGCAGGCCATAGACCGGGCCTTGGCTGAGGGCGTGGTGCTGAGGCCTGCGGAGAGTCCCAGCTCCTCTCAAGTAAGCTTCAAAATGCCACTTAGAGCCCGCCCTCCCAGGGTGGGGGCAGCCCCTTTGAGCCAAAGACCACATCTCTCCTTTATTTATTCAACAGCTAAAATTGATTTCTAAAAGTATGTAAAGTAAAAAGAAGCATGCTGGAATAATCAAAATCTGGGGTTTGAAGTGTAATTTAGGCAGCTACTTCATTTCTGTGAGTTGTACTTTCCTCCAATAGGTGAACAGAATATTATTATATAATTGATGGCATAAGATAATCAGGAGATAATTTCCAGGAAGCACTTTGTCAGGGGAACTATTATGTATCAAGCACCCCCAATCACTTGTCTTCTCTGCAATTGCTCTTTTTTGTTTTGTTTTTGAAACAGAATCTCATCATGGAGCCCTAACTGACCTAAAACTCACTGTGTAGAGCAGGAGGGCTTTGAACTCATGGCAGCCCTCCCGCTTGTCCCTGCTAAGTATGCAGCACCATGCCTAGCTTTATATACTCTTTATATACTCCTTCAGCTTCTTTGCATATATATATATGTAATTTGTATCATTTAAAATATAAAATATACATATATGTGTAATTTAAAATCCAAGTTGAACCATATGTATTATTCTATGATGTATTTTTAATTTTTGTTTAGCAGTCTGTCTTAAATCTCTTTCTAAGAAATTAGTCTTCTGCATGTTTTTTTAATATTTTTTAATATTTTATTTATTTATTTATTTATTTATTTATTATGTATACTGTCTTCTGCCTGCATGCCAGCAGAGGGCACTGGATCTCATTCAAGGTGGTTGTGAGCCACCATGTGGTTGCTGGGAATTGAATTCAGGACCTCTGGAAGAACAGTCAGCGCTCTCAACCGCTGAGCCATCTCTCCAGCCCTTCTGCATGTTTTTGATAAAAACAATATCAGTTTATTTTTATTCCCAAGAGTTATAAGAAATTAAATGTTTAAAAGTAAAGGCCAAATTTTAGTTCTCACTTAGCTGCTTATTCTATTTGCTCTTAGTCATACTTTCCCCTAATGCCATAATTATGTCACATTTATAAATATGCAGTAACACTTAATGTTATTTGAATGTATCTGTTCTGTGGTGCAAAGATTAAACACTCATTGGTACATTAAATATGTCATTTTGTCAGGCAGCAATTTGGTGTTTTGTTTTTTTGGCTTTTTTGAGACAGGGTTTCTCAGTGTAGCTCTAACTGTCCTGGAACTCACTCTGTAGACCAGGCTGGCCTTAAACTCAGAGATTCTCCTGCCTCTGCCCCCTGACTGGGACTAAAGGTGTGCACCACCACCGCTGGCTCTAGCATATTTTATTTTATAATTAAAAATAGTCTATTAAATAAACTGATGAATGAAGTCAAAAGGCAAAGTTTTGTTTAAATTCAGGGTTGGCTCTTACCTTACAGCCTTCATTCTACAAATACTTTAAAAGAAATTTAGCAGGGTGTTTTTGTTGTTGTTTTGGTTTTGGTTTGGTTTTTTTGTTTGTTTGAGATAGGGTTTTTCTGTGTATCCCTGACTGTCCTGGAACTTGCTCTGTAGAGGAGGCTGGCCTGAAACTCAGAGATTCACTCATCTCTGCTTCCGAGTGCTGGGATTAAAGGTGTGCACTACCACCACCCAGCTTAGTGTATCATTTTTTAGAAATAACTTTGTTAGAGATACCTACTATTGCCCATACATTATCATTTGGTATTATACTTATCATAATTATGAAGATAGCCAAATTTCCTGTTATTATTAACATGTTATGTGGCCAAAAGAACTCAATCAAATTATCATGTTCACTTACTTATGTATAAGCCAAATGTGCTCGTGTTAACGCCACACTTTCCCAATTTTTGAAGCACTGATCTGTTGGTTTGGGTCTGTCCTGAATATACAACTTTTCTGTGACACTTGCAGTTAGCCTTACAACTATAAACTGCTGACACTTTCAGGGTA